CTATGGCTGTTTTCTGGCAATGGGATCAATAAAACACAAGTGCTAGAATTACCAGCTTCATTTTTAACACAAGATTCATTGGCAAAATCTTAACCGGCCCAGACTGAGGGCTAAGGAAGAAATGATTTGTGATGACTGAACCTCAATACTAAATGAAGATTCTGATTGGATAAATGGTGGCCAGTAAAAATCTTTCCATGAAACAGGAAGGATGAACTGGCTCTTGTGAAATAGTCCATATGGTCCCTGAAAAAATAGGCTGCATAAACATCCATCAGTGTCCTTACTAATTCTGCCTCAGCTTAATTCAATCAACTCTGATCCATACAACGGGAATCCGACAAAAGGCCAGTTTATATTGTGTGACAAAAGGATTGGGAATGTATTTATTGTGAGGTTGAAGATGAAGGATGAGTTCCCAAGACAGATTATGGCAAGTGTAGCTGCCATTTCCAATTATTATCTGACAACACATACGAACATCTTGTGATTAGGAAATTGACTTGGAAGAAGCAAATACCTGTTGGGAGTTATCACTTATTCATTCCTTGTGTAAACCATATACAAGATGAAATATCTTTCATGTAACAGAAAAAAGAATATTCCATTCTAAACTTTCAAGAAATGGTTTAATTCTTTTAAAGTAATGTTAAAGATTTTATGCATTACTACAGTAAAGCCAGAATTTTGGAAGAGCAGTTAATGCACTCGAAACTCCTACACTCTCTCTCTCTCTGTGTATGTGTGTGTGTGTATCTTTGAATAAATGTTGATGTCTGGCAACTGTTTAGAAAAGGCCCTGCAGTTTTCTTGGCAAGATTTCAGAAGTGATTTGCCCTTGCCTGCTTCCTAGGGCTGAGAGAGATGAACTGGCCCAAGGTTACTCAGCTGGCTTTGTGCCTAAGGTGGAACTACAACTCACCATCTCCTAGTGTCTAGCCTGGTGCCTTAACCACTACACTGCTCAGGTTTGACTGCCTGGCTGCCAGAATGATCTCAAGAGCGCAGTGCATATCTAAATGTTTCCAGTTTGTAGCTTTGCAGAAAAGTAGGTGAAATATTGCTTTATATTGGTGCTAACCAGGCAGCTCTGGATTCTTAATGGCCCAACATCCTGTTAGCCCAGAAAGACGAAGAGTGGGGTATAAGAGGTTAATTTATAGCTCTTTGTTCACACTTACATCAAAGCTTATTTAAAAATACAGCCCTTTGGTTCTTAGTCACTTTTTGTGTGAGGCTCATTACAGTTATAAATATCACAGCCATATGCCTTGCCAGTCTGTGGCTTGAACATGGTTTGTTTCCTTCCAAAAGTCTTCTGCTTGGGGAAAAGGGATCCATGCCCCACTTCAAATCTTTTTCATTCAGTCCCAAATGCTCAGGCCAACCCAATCTTTGTGTAATAAAACCCAACCTTGATCACATTTTGCAGGTTTATTTCTCTTCAAGTGAAACAGCCTAACATCACAAAGCATATTCAATGTGTATTGCTTGCATACATGTGTTTTTAACATTCATTAATACATTTATTCAGTTTCTATACTGTGGAATGATGTGACGTCAGAACAGTAAAATAGAGCCATACATAATAAGCAGAATTGTGATCACCCATACACCTCCAACTTCAGTAAAATGCTGCATTATACCTAAATATGCCAACTATGGGGGTTGTCAACCTTAAGCAGCTTTACCTTAAGTTGCAAAGTCCCTGCAGAATAGTTGTTTTTATTGCTTGGAGGAATGAGGTTAGGGTCAATCTATCCACATTGGGGGAAGGAGGCTATTTAAGAAAGTAAGGGTTACTTTCTTTGATTCCCCACTGATCTCATTCTCTCATGTTTGGGCACAAGTGGGGGACAACTTATTTTCCAAAGCACCTAAGGGCAGGACAAGAAACAATGGATGGAAACTAATCAAGGAGAGACGCAACTTGGAATTAAGGAGAAACTTCCTAACAAGGACAATTAACCAGTGGAACAGCTTTGCCTTCAGAAGTTGTGGGTGCTTCACCACTGGAGGTTTTGAAGAAGAGACTGGACAGCCACCTATCTGAAATGGTATGGGGTCTCCTGCTTGAGCAGGGGGCTGGACTAGAAGACCTCCAAAGTCCTTTCCAGCTCTATTTGGATTGATGTAATTTCCCCAGTTGAATGAATGCCCTGGATGGTTATGAGGAAGATGGTCTGGAGCATGCCCAGAACCAAGCCAAGTAGTACTTCAACAATCCAAATCAACACAGGTAGACAGTCATGGATTAACTGTCCTCATGTGTTTTATGTCTTAAGCATTTCCAAGTGACCAGTGTGTCTTATACCTTTCTTTGGGTCTTGGAAGGAGCACAGGTACACTTATACATTCAGATTACTTGATGCTGTCTATATTATTTAAAAGTTAGAAGTAAAGCCTTTGCAACCTAATAGTCTAATTTTCATCTCTTTCCCCCACAATAACTTTGCTTCCAGATATCACCTCTGATCTTCTAACAGTGGCCTGCAGGCTTTCAGCTTTTCAACATTCCTCTATCATCTACTGACCTAAATCAGTTGCCATCACTAACACCATGGCTTTATCGTATCATTTTGTATCTTTTCCTCAGCATCCATCTGATCTGTCAGTCTGTCTGTTTGTCTGTCTCACTCACAGATACACAAACAGGTCTAGCCTGCCATATTTCCCCCCCCCCCCATCCCCACAAAAGCCCTAAGGGATTCACGCAACTATCTGGTATTATGGGGTAGGTTTTTCATAAAAACAAAGCAAGAAATAGTATGACAAGGTAGTGAGAACTGACTGGCACAGGAGCAGTGTTTGCCACTGTGGGAGCAATCTTCCCTTAGCCAAGGACAATGCTACAGATAAAGTGTCTGACTTTTGTGTATCCATATGCATATCACTTAGTTCTTTCTTTGGCTGTTATATTCTGCCTATCAGTTTACTGAAATAACTATTCACAAGAAATGAATACTACCATAAATACCTGAAAAGTACCCATGTAGTAACTGCTTTTGGTTATCTTTATGAGTTGTATAGATTGGATCAAGAGGTAATTAGCACCTGGGAAGATTTTAAATTCTTTTAACTTTTTGCATTTCTATGCTAGGTAGTATCTGAATACCTCTCAAAAAGTCAAAACCTTTACTGGAAAGTTTTATCTACATCTTTTATCCTTCTGAAGTATATGAGGAATTGCATGCAATTTCACAGTGTATTTTTTTTTTACGACTTCCGTTTGGATAATGGATAGCTTTTGAAAATAATATACTGTTTTGGGTTTTTAAAAAAGCATCCATTATTCGAGTATGTGATTTTAAACACGTAATGTTTTGCATTACAAAAGAGCGTGATTTTAACTCTGGAGCAAGCCTTTAAGAATATAAAATCTTATTCTGGAGAAGAAAGGCCGTGAATAAGCAGGTAAGCAGTTTTAAAAAAAATACTGTTCTAGATTAGCAAGCCCCTTAATTGCAGTTCTGGAAAACACATAAGAAAAAATAAGAAAAGCCCCATACCACTCAAATCACCCACTGCATTGTATTGTCTTGTGTCTAACCATATGCAGGTATCTTGGAAGCATGTGCAGTCAGCTGGAATGTTCTCTCAAGCAAACAATTCTCTTTGCTCCTAAGACCATGTGTCAGTTTCAATATTCCGCTTCCAAGCCAGGATTTCCTGGGGCCAGTTTTTCTGGCTGGATAATTCCTAGCAACTGTACTTGTTTGAGCCAGTCTGGGACAGTTTTGGCAGGTTTGTTTTTCATTACTCAAAAATAACTATATCCCCACCCCCACCCCTATCTGGATTGGGACCATCAGAAAAGAAGAATCAATAGAATACCTTGATGCCCTAGAGCATTTCTGCACAAATTTAAAGCAGTTCCTACTATCTTTGCCTTTTGATCACATTTCTTTAGCCAGCTTTCTACGTGAACAATGTTGTGTGTGATTTATATTATATTTTGCCTTTATCTTATTTGTTTTATATCTGGAATTTCCAGTAGAGGCACTGCTATTAGTTACCTTATGTATTCAGGTGAAGGTGGGATATAAACAGAGCAAATGAACGGGCCATCACAGTGTCCCTGGATTCACATGGTGAATGTGGATCATTCTACATTAGTATTTTACAACTTATAGCATCACAAAGCCATTGCTGCAGTGCTATACCATTAATTAAAAGTCTTAATATTGCTCTCACAATAGCAGGGCAATGCTTTAAGATACACATTTCTAGTATGGAAATCACCTTGGCCATATTTTTAGCCATGGATGATTGAATAAGCTACATTTGACTAGTTGATATTGAGCCTTTCCTTGTTCCTTGAGGACTTCAAATGCTAGTTTCCAGGCAGATCTGTGGAGGCTTGTTCATATACACCCTTCAGTGTTCAGAGAGGTGCATTTTGGAAAATAGTATTTTGAAATAAATAGTATTATGTTTCAAGTTAATCTAGGATGCATTAGAGGCATGATGGGCATGGTTCGTGACTTTCAACCCCTCTAAGGAGCACCTTATATGTTTGATCAAGCTCTGCATTCATATTGAAGCATGTTTGCTATCAAATTGAAAATTGTACTATAATTTCTCCTACATTCAGATACTTGGCTATAGGCTCATTTTTATGGCAGTTGATAGCTACTACTAAATATTTTCAGCAGTAATTTTAAATCACAATTAAAAGATTCAGCCTTTGGAAGCAAGGATCAATTTTCCAGTCCTCTTAGGAAATGAAAATTTATTTTTATTTTTTTAAACACTATATTCATGTCTATTGACTTTTCCTTATTAATCTGGAAGGAACATCCTCAGATGGGTCTTCAACAAAAAAAAGTATTATATCATTCAGAGTATGAAAGTCAGTTCCAATTCACATGTACCTTAGGTTGAAAAAGCAGGCAAGTTGTGGCTGCATCTGCTGAAAGAATATTGTGGAACAGGAAGTGCTTACTTTTGACTGATCAGACTAAAAAAGTAACAAAAATGACTTATTCAGATATTCAGTCTTTATTATGGTCACAGACCAGCACAAAAAAGTTGGGTTTTTTTAATGTTTACAATGATTTATAAGATATAAAATCTGTTCTTAAGGTTTAACAACACAACAAATGGAGAAATATTACACCTCTACTCTTTTTTAACACTGAATTTTGTTAACATAATTTGGGGGCTGCAAAAGGGGGGGCATGTACCCATTCTTGGTTTATAAAGGTCTAGTGTGAATTCATTCATACTAACATATCCAATTAGCATTTCATAAAGTGCAAACTCTTTACTGAAAGATCTTGATTAATGTTATAATTACCAAAAGAAATGGCAATTCCCTCCTATTGGCTGCTTTATTTCAGCTTCTTTCTCTAGATTCTCCTCCCTCAGAAACAGGCTTGAGGTAGAGATCAAGGGAAAGAACTCAAATTAGTTTCCTTCTGTTTCCTGTTCCTTTCCTGCACCTTTGATGCAGTTATTCTTGTATACTTCGTGGGTGGACCAGTAGATACAGAACACAATCAGGGAGTAGCACTCTCAAAAACTTCCATTTTTTTCTCTTTTTGGTAACAGCTGTATTAATTTAAAGATCATAGCTGTGCTTTTAAAAGCATCATTTTCTCTTGACTCTCTCAATTGTTCAAATGTGATGCTTAGACCTAACCTTCTAGTTTCACTTATCCTGTGTCTAGTGTAACTTTATTAGGCTGTAGGGAAAATACATATTTCAGTAAAACACAGAACATTTTGTTCGTAGGCAGTGTACATATTTGTATAGTTGTGGTTCTGAACTTAAAATACATTTTAATAAGAACAAGCTGGACCCTTATATAAGAAGTAAATTTAAACAGTCCCTGGCATGACCTTAGCTCTGGAGAATTATATTATATACATACCTTGATTTCATCCCTTAACAGTACTTAGAATAGAGGACAAAAATCTTTTACTTAAGCCCCAGTTTTTTGCAATACTTTCTTTCTACACTGCTAGACATGCAAGTCTGTTGTTAATGGCTGTTGATATGTGATAAAGGAATAACCTAATCAGGCATTGGATTATAGAAGTAATCCTTGATTTACAACCATTAGTTAGTGACCATTCCAAGATACATTGGAGTTAATCTAAGAGGCTTGTGATCCTGTAACTCCTTTATGGTACAAACATTTGGGGATTAAAGTCCATGAAAGTCTATGCCACAATAAAGTGGTTGCTCCATAGGATGCTGCACACTGAGGTTATAATCTTAACACTTGTGGAGTGATTCCAGTTTTCCAGTGGGAGAGCCATATTAAGAACTTGGAAATCCTTTCAGGGCTCCATAATTAGAGAAAATAATGAAAAAAGCAGCATCCACCTGCCTTTCTAGAAGTTGGGATTCTGTCTTGACTGTGCTGTACTGTAATTACAGGAACTGTATGCACACATGCTGGATGAGGCTGTAAAGTTCACCTTCCCGCAATCTTGATCAAAATCCTTTTGATCAAGATTGTGAATTTCTTCAATGCATTGCAATTGTTAAGAACAAATACATTCAATTGTTCTGTTGTTAAAAATGTGTTAAAAAGCAATGAATTGTACACAGGAAGCTGATTAACTGGCGTGGAAAAGTAGGTGGGGCCATGCAGACCACGAACAAATATATACATAATACGATTCTGTTTTTACACGTCTTAGAAATGCAGTATGGATTCTTCCACTTCCATCCCATGTCTCTCATTTTCAAGGCTGCTGAACTGTTTCTTCAGAGCTGCCTGTAAAGCAACTCAAAGACTCTGGTATTGGGCTTTTCATTTAAAAAATGAAACTTGGAAAGTTTCAATTAATTTAAGGTAAAACTTCTGCATCTCTGGGTGATTTGCCATCTCCAGGTATGGTACAACTTTCAGCAGCATTAAAAGCAGGAGAGCTGCCTCTTGCAGAAAGGCAATTCTTCCCTGATCACAGGGTAACTTTGGACAGATCAGATAGGACAATTTCAAAGTGAATGCTGACAACATATTATGTCAAGTAAGACTCATTTCCAAGAAGAGTTCCTTAGTAGTCTCTGAAGCATTTTTTTTCTTTTTATTCCTGTAGATACTAGCTAATTTGAGCACAGATAAGACTTCTTCAGGCTGATGTCTGGAAGTTAAAGAAATACTGCTGGTTTCTTTGAAAAATTGTGCTGTGTGTAGGCCATGTCATGGAGAATATGATTGCTTAATAGAAAATTATAATAAAACACAAACTTCAGGGCAAAAGGAACACCCCTGCCATTGATGACTGTTACGCATTATTGTTCAGCTGCTTCTCCAAAGCTTTACTCATGGCAATTATGCTTTCAGCCCAGACCAAATAATTTTTAATTTGAGTTAAAGGTGACTTTGTTGCAGAGTTTTAACAAACACATTACAAAGTATAAATGATTTGTTTTTTTTTCCTCATGGGAAGAAAACATCACTCACTTGGAAAGTATATGGTCAGCATAGAATATAAAGGTAGTCCTCGCTTATGACCACAATTGAGCCCAAAATTTCTGTTGCTAAGGGAGACATTTGTTAAGTGAGTTTTGTCTCATTTTACCTTTCTTGCTAGTTGTTAAACAAATAATTGCAGTTGTTGAGTTAGTAACATGGTTGTTAGGTGAATCTGGCTCCTCCATTGACTATCCTTATCAGATCACAAAAGGTGATCACATGATCCTGGGGTACTGCAACCATCATAAGTACAAGTCAGTTGCCAAGCACCTGCATTCTGATCATGTGTCCATGGGGATGCTGCAGTGGTCATGTGAAAAATGGTCCTAAGTCACTTTTTTCACTGTAACTTCAGTCACTAAATGAACTGTTGTAAGTCAATGATTATCCTTACTTAAAATATTCCTTCCCTTAATACCATCCAACACATGCATTAAGATCAGGTGAAGAGTTTATTATCAGAGTAGAATATAAGTAACAGCTAGGACCAGGGCAATACAATTTATAGAACTACTTTCTTGAGAACAATTGTTTTGAAATTTTGTTCTCCCAACACATTTTAGGACATCAAATCCAATTTCAGATTTTCCACTTTTCAAAATGAGCTTTGTTTTAATGTTTATATTTTTTCAAATAATTTATTTTTGATTTATATTTAAGATTTTTATTTTTTCTCATAAATAGTTTTGCATTTATCCAGGAAGAATTGTAGAGAAATAAGTGATATGCTTTAAATATAGTAGGGTATACAGTTCAGATCCAAGCATTTTTAGCCGGGACAGGCTATATTCCTTGTGTAAAATTATGAAGGAATACTATTAATTATGAAGCTAAGTGGTCTGATATGACTAAAAGTATGTTCCTTTGCTTCCATGAGGGAACTGTCTGTGCAATGTATGCACTATACAGTACTGCATATTTGGCATTTCTTCTGGGACAATTCTGAAACAAAATATATACAGAACAATGTGGCTAGGTCCACACATGGTCAGTTACAAATGCCCAATTTAATCAGGTTATATGAACTCAACCAGTATTTTGTTTCTGTGTCAAGGTTATTTCTGTGTAAGCTTGGTCTGTCTTTTGTAACTACACCACAGAAAATGCTGTAGTTTCATCTTCCAAATTAAGTTCTAATAAAAAGGGATGAGGCAAACTTTGAAAGCGCTGAACAGCCAGAAAATGGGGGAGGCATCAATCTAAAAGTTACCTCAAGGTCATCCTACACACACTTCTTACATATCTCTTAAATCGAAAATTCACTGTTTACAAAAAGCATCTAGGGGGGCAGGACCCTGCAGCAAAATACTCTGCAATAGTGGCGAATATCTGTAGCTTGGGTGTAGGATAAGGGTGAAGGTTTGTTCTCCAAGCTTGTAAGTTGGTTTCTGCACATTTCATTACCATGCTAGGTAACATCCTCAGCCTACTCTGTAGTAAAAATATTCAGGTGATCCAGTGCAACTCTCATTCTAGTTCAGCCTCATAAGCACAACTGCTTATCTAACCTCTGATTCGGAAGGGTTTATTTCCAGCTAAGTCCAATGGAAGCTTAGTCTTAAGGGTCCAAGAGTAGTAGCCTAAATCTGAAAGGAACCGCACGGTGTCACCTTCCTTTCCCTCCGATACACTCGAAGAACTGCAGGCAGCAACAGCTCCACGAATACAAGCCACACACAAGGCTGAGATTTCTCTCAGACCAGCCACTTTCAATGCGGTCTCCTAGATCTCGAATTCAGCGCTGGCTCGTTTCCGCAGAAATATCTTTAAATGTCTTCCTCAATTCCGGGGTCTTTCAAAGGTTGGGCCTACGGCTTCCGTGCTCCTCAGCCTTCACAACAGGAAATTGGCGGGAACTGCAGGCCAACACATGCGCAAGACTCCCTAGATGACGGAAAGCTGTTTCAGGGGCGTTTCATTCCCCCCGACCGAACAGAAGGGGGAAGGGGTGTACTCCCGCACGGTTCTTAGGCTCTCTCTAGCGCGGAACGCGGAGGCGTCGCCTTCCGACGTTGTCCCTAGCAACGCCGAGCAGGGCGACGAGTGACGCGCGCCAAGGGCTACGTCGCCGCGCCGCGTCGGGCGGGCGCGAGTGACGCAAGGCGCGCGCGCAGGCCGGCAGGGGGAGGGGCCGGCAGCTTCTTTCCCTTTTTTTCTGTTTCTTTTTTTTTCTTTTCTTTTCCCTCCCTTCTTCCCCCCCCTTTTTAAAAATTCCCCGTTCCCCCCTCCCCTCTTTTTCTTTTGGCCTTCCTGCCTCCCTCTCTCCAGCCCTCCCCGCCTCGGCGGCCCCACCTGACCCTCGGCGAGTCGCCCGGCCCGCAACCATCCGCCCGCCCGGATCCAGGCCCCGACCTGCCCCCGCTCTCTGCTGTGCCAGCGCCTCCGTCTTCAGCTGGGACCCTCCCCTCCCCCTCCAGCCTAAGCTCCCCGGCGGGCGGGAGCTCCAGCCTGGCTGGCTCGGCGGGGTAACCCTCCAGCATCCCGGCCCGTCGCTCCGCCCCGAGTTGGCCCATCTGCTTTTCTCGGCGGGCGCTTCAGCCCCGGTGCAGCTGCCCGCACTTGTTGCCGCCCAGGACTTCCTCCTCCCGCGGCGGCTTCTACCTACGCTCTACCGCTCACGTCAGAGGAAGCGGAGAGGACAGCAGGTCCCTCGGCCGGCGCCACCTCTCCTCCTCCCCGCCCAAGAGGAGGGAGCAGGAAGAAGAGGGAAGCGGCAGCACGAAAACACGCCAGCGACGGAAGGGGGGGACGGGGTCCCTGCTCTCCCCCTCCTTCTTCCTCCCTCCCCTCCCTCCCTTCCTCCCTCCCCCGGAGGTAAGTAGCGCGCTCTCGCCTCTTCGGGAGGGCAGCCTTGCAAAGTTCGGGCTCCTTCCCGATTAAGATACCGGGAGGGAGGACCGTTTCGGGTGGGAGGAGCGGGTCGACGAGGGAGGGGGGGGGTCGGCGTTCAGCCTCTTTGTGTTTTTCATGCTGGGGGGGGGAAGAGAGGGGGGGTGAAAGAGAGAGAGAGAAGAGAAGAGGAGGAGGAAGAATGACTCCTCCGGGAGAGAAAGGAAAGTAAAGGTGCAACAGGTCAAAAGCCAAGGAAGGGAATGGTGTCTGCAACCTGCTTTTGAATTTGGGAATGGCAGGAAGCGGGTAGTTCTGCTGGCCTTCAGAAACGGCGCCCCCGTCCCCATCTGGGGTGGAGAAAAGAAGAAGTGCCATTGAACCTGGCCGAAGAAAGGGTCGGCGTCCTCTCTCTCTCTCTCTCTCTCTCTCTCTCTCTCTGTGTGTGTGTGTGTGTCATTCAGCATTTGGCTTCAGAATCTTAGTTTGGGGCCAGATGGAACTGTTGAGGCCATGGACGTGTCTGTGTTGCCAGCACCGGAGTATATTCGGGTTAGGGATTCGTAGTTGCTGGGTGTAATAATGGCCTTACTTAATTTGCAAGAGTCTTTACTGTTATTACCGTAGTTCATTTGTGGGCTTGATGCGCTGCGTAAAAGGAATATTCTTAACCATATGGGTTCCCATGATTCTTCCGGGGGTTCCAGAAGTGGAAAGCACTTTCACTTGGTGCTGTTTTACAGAGATGACTATAGTTATCTTCTGAGTGGTAACTGAGATTCTTAAATGATGATGATACTTGTATCCTAAAGGGCATGAACATTCCACAAACCTGGATTTCTGTCCGAAAGGAAATTTCTCAGAATCTCAGCCTGTTGTACATTTTGGAAGCAGGCTTATCTATTTTTTACCTGGCCTTTGGAATTCGGAGTTTAGTTATAAAAGGTGGGGAGATTTAATTTATACATTGTCTTAATCTGTTTTATGGATGGACATTTACGGATGTGTGTGTATGAGGCTTTGGGATAAGATGTGCATATTTAAATAAGGAAGTAAGGAAACATTTGTTTTTAGAAGTGATGAAAGCAAGGCAAAAAAAAAACCAAAAACCCAGCGACCACAAAAGATAGAGCGAAGAGGGACTGTTATAAATGAAAAACAGTCATTTTCTATGCTGTTTTTTGTTTCAAGTCTGGTAAAAACCTTTGAGAGCAACAAACCTTAAATGTATGCTAATTTGGAATCAGTAAATTGGGCTTAGTTCCTGATGACTGCATGGAGAAATAGTTACCATTTCAACTTGTCTCTGATATAACTTGCAGCGTTTTTTGGGATACAATTTTGTGCGCACTTTGATTCCATTCATCTATCTTGTCTGTTTTTGTTTCCTTCTATTTCCCTTAATTTACCAGACATAGGCATTTTTTTTTTTGTCACCTGACATGCTCAAAGCATGTGAGTTCCTGCTTGCTGATCATACCTTTCAGGTAGCAGTTAGTCTTTATTTGGTCAAAGATTATTGGTTCTTTCTGCAATCTTTCTGTACTCTTCATAACCGTCTCCAAATCCATGTTTCAAAGGTGTGTATATTTCTCTCATCCTTTCTCAGTGTTATCCAGTGTTCACAGCTATGCCTTGTCATTAGAAAGATCATTTCTTTTATTCTGATTTTTGTTGTAATAGGAATATACTTAGTTTCATGATCTTGTCTGTTATTGCTTTTCTCCCTATTAATCTGTTTCTCTAGCATGCTCTCTACCTTTCATCTTGAGCTAAAGATAATAAAACTATTCAGCATCTTAATTTTTTTCAAAATCTGCGAACTCACTAAATATATTAGTTGAAACAACATTTTCTATATTTACCAATAAGTTACATTTTTTTACTTTCCAGTTGTTACTTTCATAATTAACTATTCTTCTAGTCAACAGTGCTATAGTCTGCATATCACAAATAGTTATTGTCACTGTCATATATTCCAGTCCTAGTGTTTTTATAATATGTCCATATAAGTTAAACGTATATGAGGACAATATATTTTGTGTATTTGTATGTTGGCAGGTTTATGTCTGTGTATGTTCATTCAGTTTCTTACTCTAAATCAATCTGGTTTTGCAAATTTATTTTTTATAATGGCTTCATTTTTGTTGTAAAAAATCTCTTAGAAAAATAATCAGATGTATCTGGCATACTCATTAACCTTAACATATTTTTTTCTGGTACGAGCTATGAATCAAAAGCCTTGTTATATTCAATAAAACAAAGATAAATAGCTTTCTTATGTCCTTTAGTTTATTCATTATCTTATGTCAACTATTGATTTTGATGGTTGCAAAACCTGCCTATTTATTTGACATTTTGTCTGTATGTTTAACTATTGTTCTTTGTAAAATCTTAAGCTACTGCTTTAGTTTAATATTTTGTACATTCTTTTGCATGTCCCTGCTTTGGTGTCACACCAATCTTTTGCAGTCTCTAAGAGGTAGCCTTGTTCCTTATTTATTAATAACGAGCTGTTAGCACTTTAATGGCTTTCTTCTGCAGCTTTAAACAGTTCATTGGATAGTTCATCTGTTTCTGATGCTTTTCTATTTGATAAATGTGTTGATGCCTGTCATACCTCACCTATTTCTTTTTTTCTGCAAATGTTTCTTTCATGTGTAACCCTTTCATCTATTTGTAAAAAATTTCAGTTCTGCATAGCTTTTCTATTTTCTTTTCCATCTGTATTAGATCTCTCTCACAATGGAACAGCCTCTCTCTCCCCTGAAGTCCAAAAGCCCCCCACTCCTTTTGGCTTTCTAGAAGGTCTTGACAGCCTGGCTCTTCCCTCAGGGGGAAGGATTGGGTTAGGATGTAAGTTGAGTCCAATCTATGTGCATTTGCTATAACGTTGCTATGAGCCTAGTTAAAATATGTTAGTGTTTAATTTGGTGGAGAAGTTGTTGGTATTTTTAAAAAATATGGGTTTGATTGTCCCAAGACTACATGGTGACCATCTAAATCATCACCATCATCATTATCATCACCATCATAATCAAAGATAGTACTGGTAGTAATAGGCACCTTGAGTACAGTCCCAAAACTTCTGGAGCACTACTTCAACACCATAGCATTGACAAAATCACAATCAATTGCAAAAGGCAGCTTTACCTGCGACAATACCTTTAACACCATCAAATAGTAACATCTGCCTATCCCCTGTCCTTGGGAAGCACTCGGGGTGGACTAAAATGCCTAATCCAGTCTAAACATCTGGCTGAAAGTGCGACGAATCGTAATAAAAAGTCTTGGCTCACAACACCCCAAATATAACTGGTTGAAAAGAAGTATAGATAATAGATTTGGCAATAGCTGGTGATAGTAGAATAGAAGACAAGAAATGAAGAATATCACAAAGTATCAAGATCTGAAAATTGAAATTTAAAGATTATGGCATAAACCTGCCATGATGGCTCCAGTGGTTATCAGCCCATTGGGTGCCACCCCCCCCCCAAATTCAGTTGGCTCTTATAAAATCTGCTCACTGACAAAATTTCCATCAATTGCAAAAGATGCATGCTGCTTGGATCTAGCGCATATATCATGCCGATACACTACAACATCCTAGGTTCTTGGGAAGAATTTGATACGTATGAAGGCCAACACTATTAAAGAACTGGCAGCTGTGACTACATTGTTGTGAATAGATAACATTAGCAACAGCTCTTGAGTATTAAGTGTAATTTTTCTTATGATTTTTCTGATCTTATTAATATATCTTTTTTTGTTTTCTTCTGTGTCCCTTAATATTGGAAGTCTGTGTTCTGTTGTCCTATGCTTTTCTTTTTCATCCTCTGCTTTCTTTGGTTACCATGATAGTTGGTTTTGAAAGTGAGCTATATCTTTTCATCTACATTTTTTTTCCATTTGGTTTTTACAACATCTTTTTTCTCTTCTCATAGTTTCTTAGATTCTCCTTTGCATAAATTAAGTATATTTATATTGCTGTTATATTTTGTCCAAAATTCTTCCAGGTATAATCTTGTTGACCTGCTTTCTAATTTTCTAAATTTAACCCATATATTGAATATCAGTAATTTATGATTTGCTCTATAATCTGAATCTCAAAATGTTTTAATTGATTGGATTGACTGGATTGTACTGTGAAGTCAATTTGATGGTAACATTGTGCATCCAAAGATGTCCATGTGTTGAGACTATGTTTAAATTGCTTGATGTAAATGTTGGTAACAAATAATAAATTCCTACAAAACATCATCGATCTACCTCCTGCACTATTCAATGTACCCATCCCAAATCTTCTGGTAATTTGAGGTGTTTCATTCCTGCCGCTTTCATTTTGCAATTATACATTAATAATTCTGGGTCCTTCCTTGATATTGCATTTAGCTCCTCTTATAGTATGCCATAAAAATTTTCAGTGACTATTCCCATTATATTTGCAGTAGGTTCATATACAGGATATCCACAACTCCTAGTACATATGATCCATTTTTAATTAGGTTATAGCAAAGCATTTATTTAGCAATGTCCTTTTGGAGAGGCATTTGTCACAATTACCACATGAAGACTAGTTAATTAGACTAAAGGCAGCAAAGCTAAAGTCTTTCATGCATTGATACTAAAATGTTTAATGAATCAAAAATGAAGAGTATTGTGATATGCCATTATATCTGCATTTATAAAATATCAAAATAATAAAAAGCAGCCATAACCTCTTACCATCAATTAGAGTAGCAAATCAGCTATTTTACTTTGGCCGCTTAGTTGCCAATATGTTTTAATAATTAGAATGCTAGTATAGTAATATTTTGTAGAGGAAGAGACTCAGATCCAGGATGATATAATCTCATAGCTGTCCAAATTCTGTTTTATTTTTATCGTATTTATATTTTATTCTCCAGCACTGGAGATGGATAATCCACGCAGTGGGTTGAGACTGTATTCCTGGCCAATCAGATCAGTCAGCCAAAGTTGCCACG